ACGAGAAAAAAAATGCCTCTGACTCCATCACTCAGTTCTGTACACCCAGAGAGGAGCACCTGAGACTCGGATCCTCACCTACAGCAGGTGGAATCACCTGAATAAGCTACAGAAAGATGGATGCAAAGCAACAACACTCAATAACTTCACATTAATTTCCTCTGCACCCTGCCCAGTGCCAACCCAGTTCACAATCAAACATTTCAGCTGCTCGAACATTCCCCACCCTGACTAAATTTAAAACAAATCTCCTGTAAGCCAGAACCAAGCAAACTCCTCACACTATTTTCCCATTAATTACAGCCACAGCTTCCAGTATGATTTTTCTTTGAAGCTAAAGCAACATTCACTCTAAAACACCATTTTCATCAGCTTAAAATCAAGGGATAATTCATTATTTGAACTGTAATGTTTATTTTCCCAGAAAAGATTTTTTTTTTAGATCTTTGCAAAAGGCAGCTTACAGGCTTTTTCCAAATTAGAGAAAAAACCTGTCATATCTGCTTGTAATGAATGTTTTGATGTATAAAAAACAGGGAGAAAATCTGGGTCTTATGGGAAAGACCTGCTGACAACTGTTCCTAAATTATTGGAATTGGCAGGTAAACTCCCCAAAATATCAATTTCTGGTGGAGGCTTAGTCACCAACTTAAGGTTGATCATCATTAAGTCAACTTAAGGTTGATCATCAAGGCACTCTCTGCAACATTTTTGGGATGCTAGAGGGAACCCTGTTTCAGGGATGGGATTCCTCCCCAGAGGAGCTGGATTCATGTTGTTTGGAGACCCCAGGCACCTGGTTTTGTGCTTGTTTCAAATCCTACCATCATTTCCAGGTGTGTAAGTACATGCAGTGGTGGATTCTGTTCACAGGCACTTAAAGAATTGACGAATGTAACCAGAATGGCAGTTCCCTCCACAAATTAAGGAAAAATCATTCTTTCAAACAACAGAAAGGAAAAACCTAAAATATTTCATGGATCCCCGTTGCACTCCACTTGCACAAGACACAGGTCACCATTTTTCTCACTCTATGTCAGAACAGGTGACCAAAGAGGCTCTTAAGGGAAGTACAGGAGGCAGAGATGTAGCTGTGTACAAATCAAAGGGTTTGACAGGGAAAAACACTTTTCCTGGTTCGTTGGGACCATCCAGAAGAAACCTATGCGGTGTTTCAGGTGGGAATTTTCCACTGCAGAGCATCACCTGCTGTTTAGGGAGGCATTTGCTGCAGCACTAAGCAGGTAGCACGAGCAAAGGATGCTGAGAATTTATGTCTATTGATGTCTCATTTAGAGAACTACATTGCTTAATTCAGAGTCAAAAATATCTCCGGAGGATCAAAAGAAGAAACGTGGAGAATTGAATCAGTGGAAGAATGAAGCGTATTCCCTAAACAGACATTGCATAAACAACCACTTGGCCTAGAGATAAAAGAATCCATCAGTAAATGCTGCTGTCAATCCCCTGGATTTGTTGTATTTCCACATCCAAAATGCTCAGCCGGAGCATACAACAGCAGGAAAACATTAAAACCACACGGTCAGGCTTACAAAGCCCCTTCTATGTATGTACACATCAAGCACCAGAATGGTCAAGCCATCTGGGAAAACCTGGGTCACACAGGAACCTTGAACAGAATTAGTAGAGCTGTACAATTGCAGACATTTTATGAGGGTTTCACAAAGGCAGGACTTCAAATGAACAAAGCAGTTTCCCTGGAAAGGAGCCTTTCCTAATACACCACAGCACACGCTCAGAGCTCCTCCCCAGCAAAGCTCTTCTCTAGAGGAATGTCTTGCACGATCACTGATCCTTCCAGGGACGTAACAATCCCACTGCTCCAAAGTGGGAGATGCCAAAGCTGAGCTGAGTAAGTGAACTTGCCCATCTGGCTATAGACATTTCTGTAATAAAATTATTTCAGTTAATACAAAAGATGTGGGAACACAAGATACCCTGAGTTATTGGAAGGGACGCACTTAGGGCACTTATTAAACTGCTCCTGCCTGCAGTGTCTTCAGAGGCAGGTGGAACAAATCCAGCTTCCGTGCCTGTGATGCAACTCACTCCACAGTGCACTAACAGGGAATCCTCAGTCCGTGCCCTCATGCAGCAGGATGTCAAAAATATATCATGGAACGGTTTGGGTTGGAAGGGACCTTAAAGCCCATCTTGTTCCACCCCCTACCATGGGCAGGGACACCTTCCACCAGCCCAGGTTGCTCCAAGGCCCGTCCAATCTGGCCTTGAACACTTCTGGGGATGGGGCAGCCACAGCTTCTCTGGGCACCCTGTGCCAGGGCCTCAGCACCAAATACAGCTCTGAAAACCAAACCTCAAGGCTCAGTGTGCCACAAGACAGCAGATGAGCAATGGAGATGGAGGGAAGGCACTGCTCAAGCTGTTTATCCCTTCTCAGTGCCAGGAAAGACAACCTTTGCTGCGAGACTGTGGGAGAAGTGAGGAAAGGGAAGGTGAAAGTGGGGATACATGTCCCAGCACTGCTTTGAAGCCAGTCCTGCACACCAATCGCTCCCTTCAGCCACGCTCCCTCCTCTCCCCATCTGCCCCTTCAATCACAGCCATGGTGGGACTCATTCCCCTAAACACATCCAAGGAATAAAACACCCAACAAAGGAAGAGTTACAGCTTCCCTCTCATCTCCCTCTTCCATCATTATTGCTGCTGAAGGGCCATTTTATCACTTGCAGCTGCAGTCATTCAGCGACAACCTGCTGTGCTGGGAGGCAGAGGAGACCTGCACATTTGATCTGCATTAAGGCTGTTTCATGGCTTCCCATTTCGAGATACATTCCTAAAGCAGCACCAACAACCAAACCTTTTCATCCCTCCAGCTCCTCGGTAGCTCCTGTGAAATCTCTCATTTATCTTTCACATCGGGCTTGGTTTGGTTCAGCGTCAGTTTGTGATCTGTGCCCCAAATCCATCAGCCCCAAACAAGGGCTGGCGCTTCTCTGGCTCCTCCTGGACAGCAGCAAATCCCTGTTTTTACAGCAGCAATGTTTTTATTGGCAGAGCTGCTTTCCATCCCCTTCAGACACGAGGTGCAAATTAAGCAGCTCTTCACACGTACCAGCTAAGAAACACAGCACTTTGCTCTCAGGTGCAAGGAGCCCACGTTGGAGCCAAATTTGTGGGGGCTTTCTCAGAACAAGGAAGCTGTTCAGCCTTGGGTTAGGATGTTTGCTGGCCCATAAAGCAAGGGGAGGAGAAATGAGGCCTGAATCCTTATCATTATTCCATGATAGCTTTGCTGCAAAGCTCTCAAAACAGGACACAGTGGCTATACCCACCTGCTTACTAGAAAACCAAAACCCTGGGAAGAGCAGGAGTGGGAAAAACAGACACACAGCTTCTAAAAAGATATGTCAAGTCAAAATATTTCTTCTGCAGGAAGACACAACAGCTCAGATTAAGGACAGAGGAGAAGCCACCTCCCATAGCTCAGCATATCCCTGTCCAGTTCTCCCACCAACCTGAGGGAACTTGGCTCCCTGGAGTCCTTCTGCCTTTTTATTTTTGAGGTGCCCACGTAAAAAGCAGGCCCATAAGTGCCTTGTGTACCCTGAGTTCAAGCCAGTCCCCCAGAGCAGGGCCAAACCTTTCCAGCCCCTCTGGCAGAGGCTCTCAGCATCTCTTCCCCATGGGTGCAGAGCTCTTCTATTTCATTATCAGCCTACCGGCAAGCAGGAAAAACGAGGGAGTCTCCAGAAAACAAACACACTTGGAAATACCCAGCTGATTAAAAGCTAAACTCCTCCAGCAACCAGCTGGTGACCAGCTCAGCCCTGGCTCTGTGAACGTGTCAATTATAAATAATTAAAAGGGAATAGGAAGGAGACACTGAAGTATTAAGCAGATTTCTCTCCAGGCATCTGGAGGTTTTTGTTGCTGCCAATCACACCCTGCAGATTGTTGTCCTGTCTCTCAGTCACCAGCCCTTACCTGAACAAGGGAGCTCAGGTTAACATTTGCAAGGAAATTAATTAATCCTGGTTATGCCTCTGCACATGAAAGCCAAAAATATCAGCAAAAACCCCAGCTCTTAATTTTTAATAACTTGTAAGCATAACCTCAAATTGCTGGAGAGAAAAAAATCCACACAAGTCAGCTATGTGGTAGGTGAAACGGACATAGCTATGAAGAGCAATATTGGACAGCCCTCCCTCCACTTGTGATCCAGCCTCCTGGAGGGACAGATCTGAAGATGCAGAGTTCAAAAGACAACTGGCACCCTTGGAGGGGTAAGAAGAGAGCACCACAAATGTTCAGAGAGGAATATTTTATACCATACCCCACAAATAAATACATGTTAATTATGAACAGTTTGCAATGGGAACTGAATTTTGATAACTAGGGGACAGAAAGAGTCTTGTGTGACATCCCAGAGACTTCACACAGCATCCCCACTCCTGTAGCAGGGAGAGATGCCAGTTGCTGACACCAAGGGGAGCAAGGGGAAGGAATATGAGCAAGTCTGCACTTCCGCGCTCCGTTACACAGAATTCCTAACTGGAAAGCTGACACACTGGGAATCCACAGGAAAAGGTGGCTTGGTGTCCATTTTCCCAGTGCCCAGCTTGCATGTCAGTGCAGTGACAGTGGCTGTGAAGGCATTCATACACGCCACTGAAATCAAACACGAGACATGTCAACTGAAAGGGAGACCAGGGAATTCTCAGTGCTACTCAGCCTTGCTTCAAAAGTCCTCAGGGATTTGGGGACCTTCAGTGCAGGGAGATCATCAGTTTTGGGTAGGAGGGTAAAGAAATAGTGCCTGTGGAATTAAGTTACCGGGCAGAAGATCTTTCCTACTGCACTCCTCATCTCCCAAGAGAAACATCTCAAGCCTCAGCTCTGCTCTTCCACCTGATCTGCCAGTTCAAGGCCTGGATTTGTTCTTTCAAACTCAGGAGGGAAAAATTCATTCCCCTGTCCTATTTTGCTCATTGAGTTCAAACAAATGCTCAACTCACCCCTCTTCTGCATGAAAATGAAGAGATCATCCAGGAACTCTTTCCGCTCAGGATCACTATCCAGTTCATAGAGCTGGGGGGAAAACAAATAAAAATGAAGGTACAATCCACAATGAGAAAATAAAGTGATATTGGCTTCTTCCAGTGTGTGATCTGTGTTTGCACTGCAGGAGTGAAAGGAAACCACAGGCAAAGAGGAAAAACAAGGAAAGATTCCTGAGCAACTCTGGCCAGGGCTGCAGTGACACTCCGAGGACCCTCACCATACCCTGCCTTGCTCAGCCCCTCAGTAACTCATCCAAGTACAGAGACTGGCATCCCAAAGGGAAGAGGATTTCCAGAATCATTAAGCTTAGAAAAGACCTCCAAGATCATCAACTCCAACCTTCACCTCAGTTAACAGCACCACTAGTGAGCCACTAGTGAGGGTTTGAAGCCACCTGGAGGAAAAGGGGACAGAAGCTATGAAGGCAGGTTGGAAAGGAAGAGGAGACAACCAAAAGGAAGGTGACAGTGGTTTGGGGCAGATCAGTGGTACCTTTGTGGCATCAGAGAGGTAAAACTTCTCTGCAGTGCCTCCTAAACTCACAATTCCCTCCTTCAAGGATTGTCACATAAGTGCTAAACTCCAAGTGCCTTGAAGGAGGAGATGAAAGAATAGACCTTTCCTGTAACTACTAGTGACTGTAAGGGAAGGCTCCTCTAAACAAACCAAAAGCCTTCAAAAATATCAGGAGCCACCCTAGAATCTAGTTGCTGCAGAAATACTTTTTACCAAAAGGCTTAAAACCTCCAAGCAATTAAAATAAAGTTCCATAGACACTGTATTCCAAAAGAGAGGAACTATATGTGAGCATTATCCCCTCATTTTTCAGAAGGGGCAGACACGAGTGTCATCTTACAACCACTTCTGGAATAGAAAAAGTCTAATTTTCACCTATCAAGAACCCTGTGAGGCCAAAAAGTGACAGTCTGGAAGGGCTGAAGTGAGGCTCTGAGATCCAGGGGGATACAGAACAAGACAGAAGACAAAGCTGTACATGAAGAATTTAATTCCTTCTCTTGTTTGCATCGAGGAACAACCCTGCAACACCCTAGGGAATTTTTTTTCCTGGTTGTAGCTACTCTTGTGGAGCAGCTCGATGGAAAAGCAAAGATTCCTTGGGAAATACATATTTCAGCCTCCCCTTAGGTGCTGCAAGCTACTTGGTATTCATCTAGTCCAAAGAAGAGGGGGTGCTTTTTGGGCTCATTTCCTGGGAAGCTCTCCTTTCTCACCCAGCTCTGGGAAGAAAACACCCCGGTGTGTTTGCAGAACAATTATCTGCCCCAGCAGAAAGGGCCAGCTCAGTCTAAAATGAATCCCTGCAGCTGATGTGACACACAGATGCCACATTCAAATCTATGAGCACAGGACTAAGCAGCTTTTAGAAACAAAATATTCTCCTTTCAGATGGAGAGGACCAAAATTTTAGAAGTCAAAAGCCTGGTTATTAATTCTTAGTTCAAACTACAATCCAGTGACTAAAGGCAACAAAATAGCAGGTTCGTAGGCAGAGCTGCAGGACAAAACATCCTTCTTACAAATTCACCATAGAGCAATAGTGAGGGCTCTGTGGTCACCCCCCCGTCATGGATCAGGGGAAGAATTCCCAGAAGTTACCCCTTCCTTGAAATCCTCATGATCAGACTGACCTTGGCAAAGTCTCGTGAGATTTCTCTTCCTCGGCATCCATCACCATCATCACTCCAGGCCACGCTGCCATTCTAGGGAGAGAGAGAAACGAAAGGATGAAAGGATTCCCAGGGAATTTGTGGACAATCCCAGAAAGCTAGCAATGTGTATTTTGGGGCACAAAAATGTGCAAAAGCAGCTGCTGGCTTAGGCCAAGATGACGAGAAAGATGGGGAGCATTCGTGTATTTGTCACAGCCTGTTTTCCTGGGATCTCTGACACTCACACAAAATGGGAAGTGGCATTTTGCCTTCCAGGCAGCTGCTGAAGGTAAGGCAAGTTTTCCAGCTCTAAGGCTTTTTTTCCCCTCCACAGAAATTATCTCCAAAGTGTTGTCTTGATGCCAGGGAAAACCTTTCTAGAGGGAAGTCCTCAACACCTCCAACAGCCACGTTCCTTCATCTCCTAAAGAGAAGGATATTAACTCCCCTCTAGCAGGTGCTCTGCTGTAATGAAGTCCAACACCTAGAGAGATGCTGCTTTTGCTCCCCATGTCCATCTTTTTTCCCAGAACTCCCCTGGCATCCTTCCTTTCTATTCTCCTCATGACACTCAACACACTTGGAAAAGCCCTGCTACCCTCCCCCATGCTTGCCTACAAACCCACGACCAGAAAGAGGGAAATAATCCCTCTGGAAAGCTGCTTGCCAAGCCAGGACCCTTACTCCTGGAAGGATGTGGATTTTCCCCACAGAAATGGAAAGCTCAGCTTTGCTGGATTAAGGTTCATTCTTAGACATTAAAAGGATTAGTCTAGTTAGGCCTATTCCACTCAGTAAATCATCATTCTGGAATGACCACCAAGGTCTGGAAACCAGTATGGCAGCACCAGGACGATGGTGAAATATGGCCAAGCATCTTTACACCATCAACTCCATAAAGCTCCAGTGCAGCAGTTCCTGCAGAGCCACTCAAGGAAAGAGAAGAGCCAGATCCACCTGGCAAGGCAGGCTCGACTGCCCTGTCCTGATAAACACCAGGACAGAAAAGACAGCATGAGGTTTCAGCACCCCCAAAAACCACCCCATGGGAATTAGGGAGGTGCTCAGATATCCGAAATCTTGGAGTCATCTGGCTGTGACACACACATTGAATTACAAAGATGAATAGCTCTTGTCAAGGCCAGGCAAAGCTCCGTTTCCCCCTTTCAAACACACTGCAGTGAGCTGCCCTAATGCCTGCTGATTTAGTTTGAGCCAGTAATTCCTGCTGGAAAGTCAATTATCCAGTGAGTCCCATCAGCTGAAAGATATTTAATGGGGGATTATTGCCACTTCTGTTATGTCAGCTGTTTATTACAGCAGATCAATTCCCAGCCCTCTCTCTGTAGGAAGATATCTGAAGACTGGTTTTGTTCACAGGAGGATTCATCCATGTGTCCTTTCTCCTGGAGTCTCTCTCTCCAGCAGAGATTAAAACCACAGGTTTTTGGCTAATTATGGAAACATTCAGCTGCTCCTAAAACCCCACTGGCTGTTAACTTGGATCAAACCTAAGACAACACTCAGAATAAGACACAGTGGAAGAGAAAGGAGGAGGCAGCAGATATTTCCCATCCTCAACTTTACACACTCCAAGGCAAAAGGATTTGCAAAGGTGTTCAGTTTTCTGACCCTTTTCTTCGGCTGTTTCCTTCCCAAGTTTGGATTTGGCTATGGATCTAGACAGCAAAACTGCTTGTGGTGTTAAAATAGGTGCTCCAAGAAGCAAACCACTTGCTTCCATAGGGAATTTTTGGTCGAGAGCTTATTCCGCTATGTTTGAGGACAGGGACAAGAAAGAAGTGGGCTTAAAGGAGATAATTTGCTCCTGCCAGTGGGTTTGAACTCGGTATAATTTCCAGGAATAAAACTTTTAAAGGGATTAAAGACTCTTCAGAAGTTAAAAAGTTAAACAGAACAAGTTTTACTGGTTCTCTATGAAGAAAAAGTGTAATTAGAAGAGAATGACAAGGTTTGCTACAGAGAGTAAGCAGAATATATGCACCCTACTTCCCATAGCTCCATCCTGAGATTCTGGAGAGCACAGGAGCAATGCTCCCCCACACCTCGTTGAAGAAAAGGAGCTTAAAGTGAGCTGAAGCCATCAGTGTTTGGCCATATGTCCAGAAAATCAGGAGAGATGGATATCACCTGGCATGACACGGAGTGATCCAACGTGAGGGACAGTATTAGCATTTCCTCCTGTAGTAGCTGGAAAGGTTTAAAGCCAGCTTCCAATTCCCACATTAAGCTATCAGAGGAGATAAGGAGAGGGTTGCTCACCCACCTCAGTGCAAGGGTGGGCTGTGGAAATGTGGGGACAGAGCACAGGTTTGGTTTGGGGAGCAGAGCTGGCAAAGCCTCAGGCAAAGCACAGAATGTCAGCTCAGCAACAGGAATAAAGATGTGTTTATCCAGAGAACAGAGCACAAGCGCCAACAGGCCCTTTCCCAGGCCTCAGCTTGGATCTGGAGGGACTATTCCACTCACCAAAACCTTTGGGGCTGTGCCAAGGCTACAACCAGAGACACCAAATATCGGCAGTGGTTCAAACGGCAACTTGAGCACAGCTGGGACAGGTAAATCACTAAAGAGCTCCAGAGGTGTTCCAAACGCAGAATAAGCTCCATTCTGCCCAGCAAGAGAGCTCAGCAGGAGCTTTGGATCAAGCTTCCTTTCCATTCCTGCTTGGAAAACAAAAAGTTACCCTATGCTGAGCAGCCTCCTCCGCAGGAACGGCAGGAACCTGAGAAATCAATATATTCTCACAAGTCATTAAAAGACCTTTGTATAAGCCAGGCAATAGTGGCAGGAAGGAAAAAACACTGCTCAGAGAGGCAGATAATTCCCTGAGGAGACTACTGCCTCTCCCCCCACCCAAATCCAGGGAATTTGCTGATGTTTGACAAACAGCCCTTGCATTACCACGGCTCAGAATTTTCCTGGTTTCTCACAGAAGAAGGTGGTAGAGGTGGCACTGGATGTGCTCAAACCCCTGATGCAAAGGCTGAGAGGGAGGGCAGAGGTGTTGGGAAGGGTTGGCCAGCTTCCCAAGCTGCTGGCAGAGCCACGGAGTCTTCCCCGTGCCACAGACACCTCGGAGGCCACCAAAGCGCCCTGGGCCGCCCCCTCCCCAAGAGGCTGCAGGCCTGGCTTCAGGAGCAATTATATCTGCACCTATTTTAGGATTACTCCCTAACCACCTGGAATATCTTATTAGAGGGAAGCTCAGATGTCCAGAGCAATTTTGGTTTCCAATCCCACATTCAAGACCCAGAGTTAATCCTGAATTGCCGAGCAGACAGGAGATGACAAACACTGCCCTGCCTCGCCCAGCCCATTCTTTGGAGGACAAAAACCTTCCAAACAAGAGGAATAAAAACTTCTGGCATGAAACTCGAACTCCTTCTGCACCTCCTCGCTACAGAGCTTCAGTTTGGACAGAGGCTTTAGGCCAGGAATCTGCTGAAATATCCACTTAGGGGCGAGGTTGATCATTGCAGTGAACAAGAAAACCCCTCCCCTACCCCATGGGTTGACTGAAAGCACCGAGTCAATGGAAAGGTACAGGGGCAGCAATTTCAGGATTATCAGAGAATCCACAGAAATTCCTTTTGTGGGTAGAGTTAAGCCTTAGGAAGTGAAACAGATGCTATTATAAAGAAAACTGTTGTACTACAAAACGCCGATAAGATCAGGGCTGCTGCCCTGAGCTGCAAGTTCTCAAGCACAGGGAGCCAAGTTATAATTACTGCCTGCACAAGCTCTGCTGGAATTGGAATCAACCCTTCCCAGCTTTACTAATAACAGAGCTCGATTCAACATCCACGAGCTTCAAAGACGGGCTTTGAAAACATTTTAGTGATTTCAGGAATGGCAGGGAGGATGGGGAAGGAAAGAAAAGGAACGGGCTGAAGTTAAACTGATTAATTGCCTTTTTTTATTAAGTTTCGTTCGTGTGTTCCCATGACCTGGCAACTGTGGCACCAACACAATTCTCTGCCAAACAGGAATCTGCTTCCTCATCCTTAAGGAAAAGTTGGACTCTCTGTGAATGACTCCTATTCACAAACACTCAGAGGAATCATCTAAAACCTAAGTGACAAGAAGATTTGTTCAGTGCTGTATGGGGTGGGAAGAGAAATTCTCACTGCCACACTGAGAGTCACTTATTTACCCTGAAGTGAGAAAAACACAAGTGCAAGAAAAAAACACACATTCCAGCTCTCACCACCTCCTGTCTCCAGCATCAGCTTCAATTCCTACAAATTGGCACTGAAGGAGATGAGCTGCCACTATTCCTATAGATAAGTTTAGCACCTGAATAAATCCTAAAATGAGCCATATCTTCCTCAGGATATAAATGAGCTCACTTTCCTGCCTCCAGATCCAGCACAGCCACTGCAATATAACACACCTATGGAATTGTTTCTGGAGATGAAGACCTGAACCTAAATCATGAATTTCAAGAGAAGCAGCAACTGGCGATTTAAGAATTCAGATCTGTCCTTACAGCAAAAGAGAAACCAAATATTTAATACCAGTTATGCATGAAGAATCTCCTCCCAGTACATCATAAAAGGAAAAATACCCAGTGACACACAAAGGGAGCTAAAAATCCAACCTTGAGTCGGGCCCTGGATATCTCAAATAACCACAAGGCAAAAAGCACAGTGTGAAATGCCACTTTTTTATTCCTGGGACCTTCCCCTGCCTGGATTAACGAGTATCTCCTGGGCAATACCTCCACACACACCACTTGAGGCACATACTTAAGGTTATGGAATCCCAGCCACTCATTCCTGGACCCTGGAGCAAAAGCACGGTAATTATTTTAAGCTGACTTATCTTAATAAACACCGTGACCTTTGTAAAAGTTAGGTCAGGATTTTCAGGAGTGACTGGTGATTTCTGAGAATCTACTGTGAGACATCCCCAAAAACCAGACCACGAACCACTCCCTGGAAGTCTGTTGGCTGCTTTGTGGACACTTCCCTTGCTGCATGGAAGAAGGCCTGGAAACCCTGGCTTTATTTTTACGTCCCATGCAGGAATGTGTGTGCTGTAGTTACAGCCCTGACAACACTGCTCGGGTGGGAAAGGAGCTGGCAGCACCAAGCCAGTGGCTGTGCTCCTGCCTTTCCTACACGGCTCTTCCGGGAAACCAGAGGGATCACTGAGCGATGTGAGCACCCACGAGACGAGCACCCAACACCCAACCATCCACCAAAACCAACCTTTGCACCTGTGGAATTAAACCCTCATTTTTCTTCCCAGACAGGCAGCACCCAACACCCTTTTCCAGCAAGGCTGCGGGAGCCGTGATGGATTTCAGGGGATTCCAGCAAGTCGGAGGAGCGAGCTGAGCACACTCCCCCCAGCTATTCTTTCAGGACTGCAATTCCCTGACAAGCACCTCCACTCCCTTGTTGTTCTGTGCTGACAAGGTTCCCACCGCCCCCGTGCCATAAGCTGAGCCAGCTCTTTTGTCTGCTGGCTTGTCCTACAATTATTTACTTGGCTGTCCGGGACTGAACACAAGTGGCTTCATTTTCCTGGTTGCTTCCATCTCCATGTCACAGCTGTTACAGGCAATCTTAGCCTTACACTTCCAAGGGACATTTTTCTCCAAGGCATGGCTTTCAGAAGAACAAGCCACACTTGAAAGGAAGAAATAAAGTGACTTTTCCCCACTTTTTCACAGGCACCAGCCTGGGAATTATGCATCCTGGGAATACCACCAGAGGTGGGAGTAGGAGTGGTGATTAGCCTCCAGCAAAACTGAAGCTGGAAAAAAGACTAGTTCAGGAATCTTTTGGAAGCAAACTGGAGAACACAGGCGCTTCTGTGTTTTATTCTAGGTTTTCTGCCCAACACAACCAATTTAGACAAAGAGCAAAGATAAAATCCAAGTATCTTTAAAATATACCTTGGAAATTGAAAATTTCAAGCAAGGCAGCTTGAAAGCTTTGTTGAGCTTTAAGTGGTCAGTCCACAGTTCCTCCACACAACTCTCCCCCTTTCCTGCCATGCCAGTCACCCCAGTTTATTCCCCACACACCCCCTGCTCCCCAGCTCTAAACTGGGATTCAGCAGTTCAGGTTTTCCTGCCTGGAATGCAGACTCTGCTGGGGAGTGCAAACAGGCTGATATGCAGCATTTGCCCTGCCCAAGGGGAATATTCTGCACCAGCATCACCAATACTGGGCACTTCAACTGGCCTTGTGGGCACAACACCCCACCTTAATCACATCATTCACCAGCACAACCATGGATCTAAGGCACTCCATCTCCAGTGGCTGTGCCAGGAGACAATATTCTGGGATGACATGAACCTGCCCACTCCTTGCCATGCTTTCCCACCATCCAGAACTGCTGTAGCACAGCACACCCGTCCTGTTCCTTTATAATCCGCTCCTTAACTCAATGTCCATGAATTCCTCCGATTCCTTCCTTTCCTGTCTGCCTCCCCAGCAGTAAATCAGATTAACACAGCAGTAAGAGTTTTTCTTTTAAGTTTTTCCTGGTGAAGATTTGTGCACTTTAGCTCCCAGAATAAACTGGCCTGAAACCAGACTAAGCTGCGACCTCCTCCCAAAATGCTGGATCAGTGCAGGGGCGGGCCAAAGGACTGGAGCAGCATTAGTGCACAGTATGCCAATTGTAGAATAGTGTTTTATTTCTCTTTTTTTTATTACTCTACATCAGCTAAGACCAGCTCTGGCTGGTCTTGTGGTCATTTGCCTTCCCAGGACCACCAGTAAGATCTGCAGGCTCTCACAGGAGAAGCAAGAAGCACCAGCTGAGCAAGAAATAAAACCAACCACAGACTCATGCCAAGGTTATTTGGCTTTTTTAAGAAAGTGATCTGTTAACACTCGAGCCCTGCCTCCTGTTCTCCACCCAGAGCCCTGAAAGAGGAAGTTTACACCACTCCCATCCAGTAAATTCTGAAGCAATGGCCCCTTGACCAACAAACCCACCTCATTTCCCTACAACAGCTTGAGCAACTCTCTTTTCTCAACCCAACCCCTCTTGTGAAGCAAACACAGAGAAAAAAACAACAGTAACTGGTTGCCTGCTGCATCCCCTGCACGTTTTATAGCACCACCAGTGCCACTGTCATTCACCTGGCAACTCTGAGGAGTTCCTGCCACGTGCACTAGTGTAGGAACACCCAACTGGTTTGCAGGAACAGCCAGGTAGGAAGACCACAGTAATCCATTGAAATACCCACTTACAACACAGAAAATAATTCCATGATCCTCTGGCATTTATCTACAAGTAGTAGTAATTCTTTAGTCAAACACAGAATTAACCTCCTACCAAGCAGCAGCAAGTTGGCTTCTTTCTGCCTTCCCACACAGGAAACATAAAGTGGGTCTGACTCCCAGGATCAGTGGCAGGACACTCTTCCCTGCCTGCCCACACTACCACCCAGAAATCCAAAGTTCCAGCATCCCAGAGGTCTGACACGAAGGGGTTGTAGATGTCAAATGAGAAATAACTCGAGTGAGATGTTGCACCAAAAATGAATACACCACCAGGCTGTTCCATTTGGATTGCCCCACAAATCCCTCCCTACAAAGGTTCTCACAGACTGAGGGATTCCTATATCCCAAGCTGGAAATCAGTAAAGCAAAGTTCTTGTGGAATCTCTTTATAAAAGAATAAACCCGGAAGCGCACACCAAGGAAGCACTGCCCTCCAAAGTGCTTCCAAGTGCTTGTAGCAGGACACTGGGCTAAAAAAAATCGTCAGGTTGAATGAATACAGTCATTTTCAGGAGGAAGGAATGTTAGCACTGACCTGTTTGAGCTGCTCGTCCAAGCGCCAGTTCGGGCGTCCCGCCGGGGACCCGGAATGCAGCTGCTTAGTAGTGTCTTTACCCTGTTCTTCTTTGCCCTGCTGCCCCCCCCGCTGGTGCCCTGGAGCTGGGAGAGGATTAGAGGTAGAGGCCACTCTTTGGTTGGGATGGGCAACTTTGGGAGCACGGAAATACTTCAGAGCAGAGCAGCTTTCCTTCCCCGTCACGTCAGCGCCATCCAGCTCGCTGCCTTCCAAACCGCCTTCTTCCTCCTCCTCCTCGTCCTCTTCCTCTTCTTCTTCCTCTTCTTCCTCCTCCTCCTCCTCGTCGTCAGGCTCAGAATTCATGCTGCTCTGATCGAAAGCCCGGGCGGCTCCCGGCGGAGGTGGGGCTCTGGCCAGGGGAGCGCCGGGCGGTGCGGCCGGAGCGCGGCTGGCCGCGGCCAGGACGGCGCGTTGCACCGCCAGCTGCTGCGGGAACGGCACCTGCGCCTCCCGCAGCTGCCGCTCCCGCCGCTCCCGGGAATCCATCTGCACGGCCGGCTGCTGCTGCTGCTGCTGCTTCTGCAGCTGCTCCACCACAGCTTCCAGCTTCATCCCGCAGTTCGCATGGCTGGGAAAAGAGGGGGGCGGCTCCGGCTTTATCCGGCAGGGTTCAAGCCCCGACCTTGGGAGACGGGTAGAATCTGAGAGAGAGACAAATATTTGTCCGTATGAATATAAAATGCTTTCATCTTTTCCCCAGGAAGAGGATAAATAGAGTGCAAAGCCAGTGCTCTTTCCTGTGCAGGAGACCGTGAAACAATCAGCTCCATGTTTAACAGCCTCGGGCTCCAACTTGCATTCAATTTTCAGACTGTTTAATTGTATTTTCGAGCCGAACACATTTGCCGGGACCTCACCCTCCTATACCCCAAAGACACCATCTGAAATGCCTTTGTCCATGGGCCCAGTCACAATCCTTCCATGCTTCCTAAATAATTACTTTTGAAAGGTTAGGTGCAGGGTTTGGTGCTCCTAAAATGCTACCTTAAAAGGAGATAGCCGGGATGATAAGCTTTGATCATATTTATATTAAAAACCAGGCAGGAATCTGTTGCACACCTTTATTGCTAAATTCTCCTGTGCTTTCATTGCATTACAAAATCCTTGACTTTTTATACTTTCTTTATATCTCTTTATATCTTTCTTTTAAAAATTAAATTTATTTAAGCATTATTTTTCCCAAGGAGATGGAGACGAGACTACAGCAAAGACCGCAGAGCACCAAGCAACTCCTGCCTCTGGATCCTGGAGTTTCAAGGCCCATCCATGTCCTCCCTTCAATTTTCCCAGCCTAAGGACCCAAGAGCTTTCCCAGCTCTCCATTTTGACCTGCTGAGCCAGCACTTGAGCAAAGACCAACAGAACAGACCACAGCTGGAAACACAGCTCTGGATAAATCCTGGAAAGACAACTGCGCCGTTAATCCCCGACCGTTAAAATGACCGTGTGTATTTTGGACTTTGTGTCACCAACAGGCCCTGCTGACAAAGACTGCTCTCCTCGGGGTGAAAAGATGATTAAACAGATCCCACTTGCTGCCCTTCAAGGTTCATTGATATCAAAATACAGCCAGCTTGGAGAAACAAAGGAAAAGCCAACTACAAACAAGCTCCAATCTCCTGCCACCTCCCACTACCCTGTTTACAGCCAGCACGGGGCTACTCAAGCTACACAATGGAAGAAAGAGATTATTTTGCTAAAAAATGTTTCAAAGCAGGCACAATTCTGCTCTAAAGTAACTAATAACCTACCAGACAGCAGTTTCCAAAGTGAAAGACAACTTCCAGCATCCCTAGATGGTCAGACAGCATCTCTTGTACTAAGTGCTATGCCCCCAACTCATTTGTCTCTCTCTCTCTCTCTCTCTTCCCTAAATAATCATGCCAAATTCATTTTCCCCTGTGCAAACTCTTCACTAAGTAACAATGGAAATTAAAAGCCTGGCAGGTGCAGTTGCATTTTTACCTGGCGTGGCTTCAGCTTGCAAGTGCAACACCATCAAGTGGATTAGTATATCAGGAGCAATACCCTGCACTACCTGGCAGCTGGGAAGAGCCTGGGACTCCCCGGGAAGGCACAACGCACCATCTGTCCTTGCTCCACACGAGAGCTGGTGTGGGTGTCGCAACAGCCACCACAAAGCAGCACAGGAACCCCCAGCCCACACCTTGGTGGGCATTGTGGCACCCAAGGTGTCACCCGCCCTGCCCGGGGGACACTCGGCAGGGCAGGCACCGGGACACTGGGAGCACCTCAGGGACCTGGAGGGTAATAAACGACCTGAGACTCGCAGAGCAAACACACCTCAGGGGCAGCGGCAACACCCAGGAATGCGGCGCCCGCGTTTCCTGGAGCTCAGGTACAACGGCGGGACAGGGCACGGCAGGGCTGGTGCTGGGCTGCATCGCTGCCTCACGCAATCACAGAGTCACAGAATCAGCCGGGTTGGAAAGGACCTCCGGGATCATCAAGTCCAACCCTTGATCCAACCCCGCCGTGGTTCCCAGACCGCGGCACTGATGCCACATCCAGTCTCATCCTAAAAACCTCCAGGGATGGAGAATCCACCACCTGCCTGGGCAGCCCATTCCAATGGCTGATCACTCTCTCTGTAAAAAATTTCTTCCTAATATCCATCCTAAACCTCTCCTGGCACAGCTTAAGACCATGCACTCTTGTCCTACTGCTGGTTGCCTGGGAGAAGAAACCGATCCCCACCTGGCTACAACCTCCTGTCAGGGAGTTGTAGAGAGTGAGCTCTCCCCTGAGCCTCCTCTTTTCCAGGCTAAATCCTCCCAAGAGGGGTGGATTTGAGGTACAGCAAATACACCCACGGCAAGTATCACCGCTGTGCTGGACAGACAGCAAGTTTGCAGCCAGTTTTACATCAAGAAGGAGGTGGTTTGCTGACAGAAAACAGTTAAACCATAATTTCAGGACGGGATTTGAGGTGACAACTTGGAGTTGGGGCTCAAATCATTAAACCATTCCAGGTTTTAAGAGCCTGAGCATGGATATTCCCTTCCTTCTTGTGTCTCTGCCTTGACTTTGGTGTCTCCCCTTTACTTTCTGTGTCCCTCCCTCAGCTCTTGTGCCTCTCCCTTGTTTTTTGTGCTCCCCTTCGCTTTCCGTGCCTCTCCCCCGCCAGGGTAGGGCCAGGACTCGCTTTAACCACCCAGGGCTTTTAACCCCTGGGAGAGCCCTTCAATTAAACAGCCCCTTGATTTCAGTTTTTAACGAGCTCTTCAATTAAACAGTCCCTTGATTTCAATTTTTAACTGGCTCAGTTAAGGAACCGCCCGCCAGCGGCGCTTGGAAAGAGCTCTTTCCAAGCGGGAACTGCCGGAAAGAGTTAAAGCCGGAGCCGAGCAGCACCGACACCTACGGGGGCTGGTAAACAACTCCATCAACGACCCACCCCGTCCGGCGGGGACCCGAAACCGCCGCTCACCGCCCTCAAGGGGGAACACGGGAGCTGTGCCGCGACCCCCAGAACAGCACCCCACCGACCCCGCAAACTCCCACCCTGCACCCCCTTACCTCCCGTGGCGGGTCCCGCCGGTCCCTGCGCGGCCGCTTCGGCTCCTCCTCCCCTGCCCTCCCTTCCTCCTTCCCTTCCTGCCCCTCCCGCCCCTTCCTCGCCCGGGCGGAAGCGGCGCGGCGGGGGCGGTGCGCGGCGGCGGAAGCACCCGCCCAGCTTCCGGGAGCGGCGGGGGCCGAACGGGAGCCAATAAAACAGCGCAGCGCCGGTCGGCTTCCGGTTCCGGCGGCTATAAAGGCGCGCGCACGGTGCCAGTGCGGGCAGTCGCTGAGGAGACGCCGTGGGTTCGAGGGCGGGGCTGAGGGTGAGCGGGGGCCCCGGGAGTCCCGTGTCTGGGAGGGGGCTCCATATCTGTTTGGTCCTTCGAGGAGGGTTCTAAGGATCCTCCTCTTAGGGAGGGTTAGGGCTCTCCTTGTGTCTGTTTGGGCTTTCAGAGGGGGCTGAAGGATCCCTTGCGGGGCTTAGGGATCCCGGCGTGTCTCTTGGGGCCCTCAGGGTGGGGTTGGTCTCCCCCACTGGGGCCCTCATGGGAGATTAGGGGTCCCCCATATCCGTTCGGGCCTTGAGGATGGGAGTAGTCCTCTGCTCGGGCCGGGTTAGGGGTCCCTTGCATCTGCCCGGGCCCTCGGGGGGGTTGAGGTCGCCCGGTGGGCTCAGTGTTCGTTTGAGCCCTCGAGGAGGGGGCTTTGGGGTCCTCCCACTTCTGTTTGGGCCCTCGAGGGGGTTTTTAGGGGTCTCTCCATGTATGGGGCCTGGGAGGGTACAAAGGGGAGGGCTTTATGTTGGGGGTCTTTGCTTCCTCACGTCTGTGGTAAAGGTGTGTGTGTAGGTGTGTGGGGGGTCCCCGATGGCCCACTTTGATCCCTGGGGAAGGAACAGGAATCATAGAATCCTGGGATGGTTTGGGTTGGAAGGGACCTCAAAGCTGATCCCGTTCCAACCCCTTGCTGTGGGCTGGGACAGCTTCCACTAGACCTGTGTTTGTTTTCTCAGACACATGTATCTATGTGTATTTTGAGGGAAGAAACAGATAAAATAGGCATCTTCCTACATTACTCCACAGACCCCTCAGAGCCTAATTTATAAGAGCCCTACATATTCCCTTTCATGTCAGAGGGGGGCTCCTTCAGCACTGCTCTTGGGGCTCCCTGCTGTATTAAACCCCTTCAGCACCTGGGGGTCTGTGCTGTCCCTGCTCTGTCCTGTCTGGGCAGCAACTGATGGCTCCCTGTCCTTCCTGCCCGCAGGGCGGTCGGGATGGCGGACGAGGAGATTGCTGCCCTCGTGGTGGACAACGGCTCGGGCATGTGCAAGGCTGGGTTCGCGGGGGATGACGCGCCTCGTGCTGTGTTCCCCTCCATCGTGGGGCGGCCCCGGCACCAGGGCGTCATGGTGGGCATGGGGCAGAAGGACAGCTACGTGGGGGATGAGGCGCAGAGCAAGAGGGGCATCCTCACGCTCAAGTACCCCATCGAGCACGGCATCGTCACCAACTGGGACGACATGGAGAAGATCTGGCACCACACCTTCTACAACGAGCTGCGCGTGGCCCCCGAGGAGCACCCGGTGCTGCTCACCGAGGCCCCCCTCAACCCCAAGGCCAACCGGGAGAAGATGACCCAGATCATGTTTGAGACCTTCAACACCCCAGCCATGTATGTGGCCATCCAGGCCGTGCTGTCCCTCTATGCCTCTGGCCGCACCACCGGCATCGTGATGGACTCCGGGGATGGCGTCACCCACACGGTGCCCATCTACGAGGGCTACGCCCTGCCCCACGCCATCCTGCGCCTGGACCTGGCCGGCCGCGACCTCACCGACTACCTCATGAAGATCCTGACGGAGCGGGGCTACAGCTTCACCACCACAGCCGAGCGGGAGATCGTGCGGGACATCAAGGAGAAGCTCTGCTACGTGGCGCTGGACTTTGAGCAGGAGATGGCCACGGCCGCCTCCTCCTCCTCGCTGGAGAAGAGCTACGAGCTGCCCGACGGGCAGGTCATCACCATCGGCAACGAGCGCTTCCGCTGCCCCGAGTCCATATTCCAGCCCTCCTTCCTGGGCATGGAGTCCTGCGGCATCCACGAGACCACCTTCAACTCCATCATGAAGTGCGACGTGGACATCCGGAAGGATCTGTACGCCAACACCGTGCTGTCCGGGGGCACCACCATGTATCCCGGGATCGCTGACCGGATGCAGAAGGAGATTACGGCGCTGGCCCCCAGCACCATGAAGATCAAGATCATCGCCCCGCCGGAGCGCAAATATTCCGTGTGGATTGGTGGCTCCATCCTGGCCTCCCTCTCCACCTTCCAGCAGATGTGGATCAGCAAGCAGGAGTATGATGAGTCCGGCCCCTCCATCGTCCATCGCAAGTGCTTCTAGAGGGGCTGCTGGCAGCCACCCTGGGCTGTCCCTGCTGGGATGACCTCCTCCTTCCACGTTGGACCAGAATTGTCCCACTGT